CAGACCACAGAGCAAAGCACGACTGTCTTCAGTCATCCTCACAGCCGTTGCTAAGTTTGAGCTCATTGTTGCAACCACTGTGCCTGCCAATCCAAGTCATTGCGGGCCTTCTGCTTTTGCACTGGCCATTGGTCCACTTTACCAAACATGATGTCCCACTCGAGTTCCTAGAGTTCCAGTAGGCATGTCTTAGGAACTCCAAATGCATGTCCAAAGTCCTTCTACGGAGCATTTTGGCTGTGTTTTTTCCAAGACAGATTTTTCCATTCTTCTGGCAGTCCATGGTCCATAGTATGGCTAAAAAATGACATTTCTTCATTTCGAACATTAGGGTAGGGGGTAAATTCGGGTAATTTTCAGTTGTATTAATGGGTTTTCCTTTTAGACATATGGATATAATTCTATCATGGGCAGCATCATGCTTCATGATAGATCTTGAAATATTTTTCAAATTGTCATTCCCTTCCAAAGACCACATAAATGTCTAGTCCAAATTGGCCAGAACAGCCCATTGCAGCTCACTAATGCCTAGATATTGATCTTAAAGTGTTCCATTTCAGTTTTGACAACTTCCAAATGTCCTAGACTCACACTTTGTACATTCCCTGTCTGTCATTAGTGGATGTTTGTAGCTATTTGTTCCATTGAGTGTCATGCCATCAGCAAATGGAAGTCCCCAAAGTTTTACTCCATCGATAGCATTAAGGCCAACTCCATGCCAATCCACTTGTTGAGGATCTTCCTCTTTTTCGCTACCCAGCCTCTTTACCAAGCATGATGTCCTTCTCCGGGGCCTGGTCTCTCCTGATAGCATGCCCAAAGTGCTTGGATTCAACTCATTCCCACTGAGTCAATGCTGCTTCATGGCAACTCCCTGTGGGTTCCCAAGACTGTAACTTTTTACAAGAGCGCAAAGCCCAGCCTTCTCCCTCAAAACTCTTGGTCGTTTCAAACTGCCAACCATGCGGATTGGATCGCAGTGAGCACATAACCACGCCGCCTCCAGGGCTCCATGAGCCCATGCAAGAAACAAACCCAAACAAACTCACTGCCATCCAGTCGATGCCAACTCACAGGGACCCTGTAGGACAGGGTAGAACTGCCCCTGTCAGTTTTCCAGACTGTCACTCCTCACAGGAGTAGAATGCCCCGCTTTCTTCTTCAGGGCAGCTGGTAGTCTCGAACTGTGGCTCTTGCAGTGAGCAGCTCATGCAGGGATGTCATGATCACCGCTAAAAAGCGTAGCATAAAAGGGAAGTGACTGAAGCAAAGGCAGGGTTACAAAGGAGCTAAGACACAGTCAGTGGTCACCTATAGTGGAGACATTAAAGAGTAGAATTAAAATGGGGGGTGGTGGATCAAACTGGTACTGTGGGAGAGCTCCCGAAGGCTGAAGAAAAGGGTCAAAACTGAAAATAGAGAACAGATGAATCAGAGGCCTGCCTTAGTAACTCAAGATATCTCTGCGCAGAACAAAATCCTACACTGCAAGATGAACCAGGAAAACTTGCTGGCATGAAAAATGATCTTAGGATGCAAATCAAAGGGCTCACTGTACTTCGGGCAAAATCGATTTTAAGGTATTTTAATTGAGAAAAAAATATTCAGCTATGAAGATAATTTAAAAAATAATAATTAAAAACAAAAAACTATGTCCAAGGAACAGCACTGTGCAGAAGGTCTCTCAAATATCTGTAAATGGTTCCAGAGCACAGAACAGACCAAGAAAGCATCCAAACTATTTTATGAAGCGAATACTCCCAAGACAACAAAACCAGGCAAAGACGACAATGAAAGCAGCAGCTCGTGTCCATGGAAGACCGATGTCGACGTCCGTCCTCGAGGAAAGCACCAGCACGCTGAAGCACAGCCACGTGAAAATCCAGTTGGATTTTCCCAACACCGCAACATGCCCCAAGGATGATCTGTCTCTTCCCAAATCGTAGTGCCAGCATCTAAGGCAACCCTAATCTCAGGCAACTCCTATTTTCCCATCGAGATGCTCAAATCAATTTTTTTTCCAGCTTGAATGAGTACAATTTGATGGATTATATATGATCCAGTCAAGGATCTATTTTAAAATATAAAGTTAATATTTGAAAACAAATGAAGATAATATATTGAGCTTAAAATCATGGATTTTCCCCCACTGTCACATATGAACAAAATGACTCTACCTCTCCCTGTGAGTCCGGGCCACCAATATCTCTACTGTCACAGAAGTCACTGGGAGATATTTAATAGTTTTCCATAGCATACCAAATTCGTGTCTGAGTACCGATTTTTTTCTCCCCGTATTTGGTTGCATTTATTTAAGGAAACTTGAATCACATGAAGGCAGTGTTGTCTTTATTTGATAATCAGCCATTTGTTTCCATCTGCATTGACTGTGGGTTTTTGGAAGTGGTGACCGGCACGTAGGTAACCAATGCAAAGAGACGGTTTGGGGACCCTTCATCCTCATTGCGCTTCCTGGACGAGCGTGCATGGAGCCGGTCTGGCACCTCCCTGATTCCTTTGGCCCAGGCAGCTTGGTCAAGCCTGGTGTCAATCTGTCCATCTGATGCTCCCATCTCCGTCACGGTAGATGTCCGAATCTCCTCGAGTGCCCGAGATGCACCTTTCCTGAAGCCCACCCCATGGATGTGTGTGTGAATGCTGGTGGTGTGCTCTCAGGTCACCAGTTCACTGATAACTGAATGGCTCCTCTCATCACCCTTCTTAGCAGGAGCCATGGTGTCCAGACAAGGTTGGGAAGGGGGAGCATACGGAATTTTGTTGTCTGCGTATCTTTTAATTCATGCATTCATCCACATATGATTTTATTTCAGGAAACCATTTGTCCTGAAGCTATACATTACTATCTCAAAAACAAAGTTTTTTTTGAAAGAATCTTATGATTTCTGATTCATACAACTGTAAAGGTGTATCCCAGGAAGAATTGCTTTATCAGTGATGTATCTCTCCCTCCTATTTTACTGGCTTTGCAAGCACTCGGCCCCAGCCGCAGTCCAGTACTACACACACCATGTTGTAGAAAATAAAGTAAGCGGAGAAAGACTCCCAGAAAACTATCAATTTTAGAATGTCAGTATGTTTCCTTGTTTCCAGAAAGATGGGTTTGGGGTCACAAGTAAAATAAAATTTATTTTTATTTCAATAGAGGTTGAAATAAACCGAGGCATACTGCCCAAGGCTGATCCGGCTAGACAAAGCAAGCTCTGTGATCACCTTATGTCTCACAAGGAAATCCAGGTCATCCCTCAGCGACAGGATACTACTGGGGAGCCAGAAAGATTAAACCCTGGCTCTGCCACGTAGGAGCTGGTGACGTTGAGCAAGTCACTGCGCCTCTCTGTGCTTCAGTGGCCACATCTGAGAAATGGGTCATAACAGCACCCAGAGAATTACTGGGAAAGCTACTGGAAGTAACTCACAGAGAGCACAGAGCAAGCATCTGTGAGTGCTAGTTTCAATCACCATGCCAGACTGAACGCAAAGCAAACAAAATAAAATGACCCGCCAAAGAAGATCAACTATGACCACACAGGCAGCTTGTCCCATCACACCCCTGCACCGTCACTTTGGGGGGAAACTCGCCAGAAAACAAGGCCTGAACTCACACCCAAAGCTTCCAATCAACGTTTTCGGTTATAGCCAAGGGTCCCTGCGGGGTTGAGAAAACCTCCCTCTTGGAGCACGCCAATAAAGCCACTCACACAGATTTTACCTCGTATGCGTTGGGCGTGTTATCAGGAAGTACTACTTCCTGGAAAAATAGCGGGTCCGTGAAAGAGGGAGAGCCTGCAGCCGAGGCAAGTCCTCGAGGGGGCGGAGTGAGACAGCGGGCCCACACAGAGCAGTGAGTGGGCGGAGGGCACACACCAGGCCGTGTTGGGTCCTCCTCAGCAGCACCCCACGACAACAACCTGCACAGGCACACACGCATGAGCGCACAAGCTCAGGAAAAATAAAGTATTACATCTATGAAACAAAAGAGGGCATTAGACACATGACGTTACCACACAACAAGAAAGAGTTCTTGATCACTTGGAAAATACGGTCCATGAACTAAATTCAAAAGAAAAATTACCAACTCATGCCAAGGAAATATCTCCAACAGAAAAAGAGAGAAAAGCGAGAGGGGGTGGGAGGAGGTGGGAAGCCTGGGTGAATTATAAAATCTGTCCAACATCCAACCGACGGCAGCTCTCTCTCTACAGGAGGACTTGGAGGACAGTGGGAGGAAAGGCCGACAAATGTCACCATGAATAATACCAGAGCATCCCCCAGAGCGAAAAGGTCTGCATGCTGACCGAGAAGTCTGAGTGCCTAGCAAGTTTAAAGAAAATCTACACACAAAGCACATGATAGTTGAATGTTAGACAACTGCAACGTTTAATGAAAAGGAAAGGTGGCATAAATTAGGGACTGGGGATCAGAATGGCATTGCCATCCTGAAAAAACGCTTTTCAAGGGTTGCTGCTGGGTATAGGGTTGCAAATCTTGTTTCTTCTTTTTTCTTTTCTCTGTTTTTAAAATGAGCAAGATGACTTTTATTGTCAGAAAGCAATCATAATATTTTTTTTAATCTATTCTTGGAGAGCCCCGCCTAGATTTAAATGGCCCCATTTCTTAGCACCCTCCATAATGACACACAGCCACTTTCCTGAGGCTGCGGAGATGCGGAGATGCGGCGAGGGCACAGAACCACCACTGCAGGAGGCACTGCCCTGCTGTCCTTCTGCCTGTGAGAGATGTGCATGGTATTTACTCAGCTGGCGAGTCCTTGTTTCCAAACGCACTCACTCCAGAATACTTTAATATTTGAAGGAAGAGGGGGGAGGTCTAGAACTACTTTGCCAAGGCACATATTTCTAGCCATTCTTATCCACCATTTCAGTTAGCATTTATTCTAATCAGGAACTGCTAAATACTCCCCTCGGTCTTCATTCTATTTATTGAACAGCAAGCGACGATTTTCCCTGTGACCGGCTTACCTGTGGAGAAGATGAACACCGTGTTGTCCCAGAGTCCACGGCTTTTTAAGGCTGCAGTGACATTTCCCACCGCCTCATCCATCAGGGTCACCATCCCCGCATAGTGACGCCTGTTCTTGTTTTGGATAAAGTCGTAGGGCTTCAAGTATTCCTCGGGAACCTGAAGGGGCTCGTGGACAGACTGAAGAGCGAGGTAGAGGAACAGAGGCTGCAAAGAGAGTTTGTGTCAATCAGTTCAAAGGGCAAGCAAGCACTAGACATTGAATAAGACAGTCCAGATTTTTTTTAACAAACAAACTAACAAACAAAGGCCAACCCTGTTGGTTACGGAGATGCAAACTCAGAGACAGTGGCCCTCAAGTTCCCAAGGCTAGGAAGCTTTATGGAAACAGACTGCCCAGGAGTGGCTGGTAGCGCCCCCCCTGCAGCCCTTGAGCACGACACCATTCTATCAGCAGGGCTCCCACCAGAAGGATCAATTAATAAAAATAATCGCAACCCAACCCACAGAAAGTATTTGTGAATCCTCTATCTGATAAGAGACTTTTATCTAGAACATATATAAAAAAACAAAAGATAGGCAGAGAGGTTGAACAAATATATCTTGAAAGAAATTATACAAATAAGTACATGACAAAGAAACTCCTCAGTCATCAGGGATCTGCAAGTCAAAGCCCCAATGACACACCATTTTACACGCACTATAGGATGGCTACAATTTTACAAACGGAAACCACGAGTTGGAGGGAAACTGGAGCCCATGGTGGTTACTGGTGGGGCTGTACAATGATACAGTTCTGAAAAACCAACGTAGAAACGACCCAAATGCTTTTAAATGTTTGATACAGTTTATTCTAATTTACACCAACTTCCAATTAAATCCACTGATCATTCTTACTTATTTATTTAAACCTTTCAGTGACATGATTCGTGTATCACACAATTCAAGTGGATGAAAGAGCTGTGCGTTCATCATCCTCATTCATTTTAGAACATTTTCTTCATGCTTTTTTAAATTAATAAGTCATTTTATTGGGAGCTCTTACAGCTCCTATAATGATCCATATATCAATTGTATCAAACACGTTGGTACATACATTGCCATCATCATTTCCAAAACATTTTCTTTCTGTTTGAGCCCTTAGTATCAATCAGCTCCTCTTTTTCCCTCCCTCCCACAAGTCTCTTCATTCTTTATTCATCTGTATCATTATCAGCTCCCCCTTCCCCATTGCTAGCTCCCCTCGCCCATTCCTCAGACATAACCTGAAGAAACTATTCATCTAGTTCCTGTCACTATAGATTTACCTATCCTGATTTTCATATAAAGAAAACCAATCAAGCTTTAAAAAGCAACTGCAACAGAATAAAACACAAAAGAACCTCAATCCAAAAGACAGCAGAACGTCAACAAACTAGATCAAGTTGAAAACGGGGTTAAAGTAACCCTGAATGATAAGATGTAATGTTTAGCCTAACTCTATTTGCAGTACTCCACATCCGGATGTACTCTATCTGGGAACCAGACTATTCATATCCTTGATCAGTGGACGTAAGGGATTCGGTGGAAACAGTCCAGGTGAGGGCTCTGCAAATGGATCTGGGGCTTCCATTATCACGCATAGCCCCTGACTAACCTCTGATACGGTCCCCTTTCTGATGGCGGATTTTATTACCAATCATTCTTTGCTCCCACACCCCCACCGCGAGGGAGATGAACAACAGAAATGTGGGTGAAGGGAGACAGTGTCGGTGTAAGATATGAAAATAATAAAAATTTATAATTTATCAAGAGGTCACGAGAGTGGGAGAGGAGGAGGGAGGGGAAAAAGAGGAGCTGATACCAAGGGCTCATATAGAAAGGAAATGTTTAGAAAATGATGATGGCAACATATGTACAAATACACCTGATACAATTGATGTATGGATTGTTATATCAGAGCTGTGTAAGAGCGGCCGGAAACATGATTTTAAAAACAAAAAAGGAAGAGGAGCAGCTGTTAGTGATCCAACATCTTTAAATGTTGATATTTCTGTTCCAGTAAGTAGCTCCATCAGATATTTGTAAAATGAATATAATTAATCAGTGAAAAGTTTACGATCAGTGTTCAGCCACATCTACTACCAAAATTCAAACTTGTTATTTCTTGTAAAAATAATAATAATAATTCTTTGATCATGTTGACAACCCAAATTTCTAATAATTCTTTGATCATGTTGACAACCCAAATTTCTATCAGCTGATGCATGGATAAACAAAATGTGGTAGATGTCCTGTACTCTACAGCAATACCAGGAGTAGTATTCAGCAATCAAGGGAGGTGAAGTGCTGATTCAGGCTAGAATGTAGATGAATCTTGAAAATGCTATGCTAAGAAACCAGTCACAAAAGATTATATATTGTGTGATTCCATTTATATATTCAGAACGGGCAAATTACATCGAGAGAAACAGAGAGTACATTAGAGTTTATCTGGGGCTGTGGAAGTGAGAGAGTCAATGCAGCCATGTTAAAATTATCTTCAGAAAAAGGTTTCTTACATGGGATATTAATGATATTCTTTGATCATTTTTGCATTCTGTGGAGCCATCTTCCTTTGCAATGGGCACAGATATGAATCCTTTCCAGCTGGCTGGCCAGCCCGCTGCCTCCAGGGTTTCTTGGCCTGGATGAGTGAGTGCTTCGAGCATGGCGTCTGTTTTTGGAGACATTCCCATTGGTATTCGATCGATTCTTGGATCTTTGTTCTTCACTTGTGCCTTCCTTGAAGACAGCTTTGACTTCTTCCTTCAGGACCACCTGTTCTTGATTATATGCTTCCTCTAGAAATAGTTGAATGTCAACTAATTGCTTTTGGTACAGTGACTCTGTGCGTTCCTTCCCACTTCTTTTGATGCCTCCTGAATCATTTTAATATTTTGTCCATAGAATTCTTCAACATTTCAACTTGAGGACTGAATTTTTTCTTCACTTGTTTCAGCTGGAGATGTGCTAAGAGCGGTCTTCCCTCTGGTTTTTCTAATTCCAGGCCTTTGCACATTTCAGCATACTGCTCTATTTTGCCATATCAGGCTACCTTTGGGCATTTTCTGTTTAGCTTATTTACTTCATAAAGTCCCTCTGCTTCAGCTACTCCACATTCAGGGGAAGTTTCAGAGTCTCTTATGACAGCCGGTTTGGTCTTTTCTCTTTCTTGTCTTTTGCTTTCTTCATATGTAATGATCTTGATGGCGTTGGCTAGGCCAGGACTCTCAGTGGTTTGGCACTGAGGTCTAGTCACCCCCCATGATGTGGCCTGATACAGTGTGATTAATTCTATAATGGCATCTGCTCTAAGCAGCCAAGCAGCTGTAATATTAGAGTGGAGTACAATCTCACTTTTCGGGTCACCGCCCTGATATAAAAAAAAAAAAAAGGAAGTTTCCTTGAGGGCATGGCCAACTTCTTATATAAGTGGACACTGTGGGATTGCTTGCTTACTTTTTGCAAGTAAGGGTCTGGATCCTACATCTGACTCTTCAACTTTCAGTTCTTCATACTTGAGTCAACAACCCTCCACAATGCCTGGCTGATCCTGTGATCCGGGAGCCAGCAGCAGCTGGCCATGTGACCTACTGGCCCTGAATTCATTTCGACTCTCTAGTCACAAGTCACCACCCTGACGCGATGACCTTGCAGACATCCACCCCTGTAGTGACCATAGTGGGGTTTCTGCTGACTTGGGTTCATCAAACTCTGAAGACAAGAGAAGCCTCCAAAAAATTTAAAAATTAAAAAAAAAAATAGAGACGCCTCCAACTATCATATGACCCAAGGACTTGAAATCTCCTTAGACATTTGGACTGGATTCGTCTGCAGCTGTGCGAGCCACTTTCTTGATGCAAATGTCTACCCATTTTGATTCTTTAGAAAACCCAGCCTCTGATAATGTTTCATTTCATTTTTGGTCACTTCACTCTACAGTCTGTTGACCTCAGTCCCAATCCTTTGTGATTTGTTGGTCCATTCAGATCTTACTGACATCTTGATTCAAAACAGCAACGTCTGTGCACCATTGATCTCCACCATTTATCCTGAACCTTGATCTTTCCCTTGCTCTATCTTGGGTACAGCTGGGTTCAAATATAGGGATACACCCATCAGTATACCAGTTCATCGTTACAGCAGTCTAACCATAACCTGGGTGATGCAGTGGATGAAACATTGGGCTGCTTAACAAAAACATGGTGATTCTAACTCATGTGTAGGGAAATGACCATCCTATAATCCAGCAGTGTCCAGTGGTACCAATGAGCAGCATCCTAATAACAGCACCAGCTTCAGTGACTTGCACGCTCCTGTTATTAGGTGCTATGAGTCCATTTTTGACATAGAGTGACCCCATGTGACATGGTAGAACTGCCCCCACAGCTTTCCCAGCTCTCATCCCAGCAGAAGCTCATCACCAGCTCTGTCTCTCACAGAGTTGCTGGGTGTGTTTGAACTGCCAACCTCACAGTTCACAGCAGAGTTTTTAATTCTGGCAGCAGCAGGCATCTTAGGGCTTTGCACTATCCTCAGGTCCTGTGCTTTCTCCACCCCCAAAGTTCAGATGGTGACTCACAAAGAACTCTTTCATAGCCACCACCACCCCCTGCTTCCTCCTATTGTCTTAATGCCACTGAGAAACGATGCACTAAGGCTCTTTAATAGACATTACTTTTATTATATGCATATTATGGTGATTACATGATTCAGGTACTGCTTTATTGTGGCAGCGTAAGGGGCAATGGGCTTCTACTTGGCCCTCTGTGCCGGGAGTGCCTTGTATGAACCACAGTAGAATGCTTTCCATCAATGCTTCCAGGCGTTAATGGTGTCTGCACACCAGAATCACTTGAAGGTAAATTAGATTCTAATGATTAGAACAATAAATTGGAATTTCTGGCATTTTCCAGATGATCCTCGTGCACATTCAATGTTGGAAGCCTCAAGCTGAATCATGTACTTGGCCGTGACCTAAGGAAGCTGGTTAACTGCGTGAGCTCCGGAGTCAGGCAGCGTGAGACTAAATTCTGATTCCAGCTCTCAGTAGGGACTGCTTTGTGACTTTGAACAAATCACTTCACTGCTCTAAGCCAGTTTGTTGATCAGTCCACTGGTACCTACCTCAGAGGTTAGTACAAGGGCAAAGAAGAGTTCCTTTATGACCTTATCTTATTATTTGG